GTTCCTGTGAAGCTCTACAAAATCCCAATCAGTCCAGAAATATCCCTACTCCCCCTTCCGGGCTGTTTGTATAACTAACTACTCCCACACCCGCACCAATCCCAGCAACTAGGCAACACTAATTTGTTTTGCCTCTTCTAGAATTTCATAGAAATGAAATCACACAATGTGTACTGGGTTCCATCTGGTTTCTTCCACGAAGTGGGACAAAGTGGAAAACTAACGTAGAAGTGATGCGGAGATCAGGAGGCGGCTCAGCTCTGTGTGGGGCAGCGAGGACAGATGGGGTTAGGGTCCTTGTGTGCCCTGAGATGATCCAACACTGGAAGAGGGGAGGTGACCCTGTGGCACCTGGGGAGAGCAGAGGGCAGGGCAAGGGCTGAGGCCCCTGGTGGATAGGGCCTGGAGGCTGGGAGGGCTTCAGCTGGAGGAGGGGTCAAGGGAAAGGCCTGGGCAAAACATCCTGACCTGCAGAGCCTCAGGAGGGCCACTGGAGTACACTCTTCCTCCACTGAGCTGGAGCTGTGCCTGGTGCAGGACCTGACTCAGAGTTCACAGCTTCCTTCTAGTGCCCGTCTGGGGATCAGACTGTGGGGTCCTTGGGCCTTGAGGGGCTGTGATGAGCTGCCCTGCTGGGTGAGGGTCCTGCAGCGGCTCCTCCCACTGACCTGTGTGAGGCCCTGTACTCCTGGCCCCTCCCCTCTGCATAGGAACTGAACTCTGGGCTGCCTTGCCTTAACCATTAAGCCAGGCACTCTCCTCTTTAGGAATCCCTGCGTGCTGGAGTCCCTAAGTGGGAGAGTTGGGCTTGTCGGAAGGACACAGGCTCATTGGACTTTCCCAAACTGTCTCTTCCCAGAACAAGTTTGGGGTGCACTGGTCTACGGTGATGTCCTCCAAAGACTAGTGATAAGAGGGCACCCCTCTCTAACCTCAACGAAACACCTGAAATCTCTACTAAACTGAAGCTCTACATGAATTGGAGCAGCGGTACTATGGTAGCCAATGCCTGAAATCCTTGGGCTGCCTGCTGCTACCATTAACACTGAGTAGATGCCAATTCTGGTGCCATTCTTCTGGACTGATGTGAGTAGACAGGAAAGGCCATCCCAGCCCTGAGCAATGTTAGAGACCCTGGCTCTCTGATCTAGGTCCTGACATTCAGGTCAGTGTACAGAAAAGTATAATAGGAAGACGCAGGTATAGACCAGTGCTTCTCAGCTTTGAGCATTGGTTTCCTCTTTAGGGGACCTGAGGCACTAAAGAGAGAAATATTTTTGCCTAAATCATACAGACATCTCCTCCAGATCCTACAAGCTTGTAGGAGGACACACAGTGGGAGTGAATTGGCTGCAGAATATCTGGTACAGACATGCACGTGGGATGGGTCCATGTGTGTGGAGAATGACATGTGGGACATGCTGTCCTAGAGCAGTAAGCAGGAGCGGGATGCTCAGTCTTTCATGACCCAACAGTTTTGGCCTCTCAACCAAGCCCTTGTGAGGAGTATGAACACAGAAAGCCATAGACAACTTATACTGAATTGTGGGGTGTTGGAGTAAGTTGCTGAGAGACTGACCAACCCTCAGAGCCAGGCTGTGAGAGGTAAGGTCTCTCAGGGCAATGAAAGGAAAGGATAAGAGTTAATTGCAATTTTCTGCAGGTCACAAATAGCAGGCGAGTGTCCAGTAGCGCTTGTGTTGGTTACTTTTCTCTTGTGGCTGAGACAGAAAACCTGATGCCCAGAATGAAGGAAGGAAGTAAGAATTTAGTTCCGAGTTTATGGAGCTGTCAGTCCATACTCAGCTGCCATGGGGCAGAGTGCCACATGGCAGAGGGCAAGAGTTCCTGGCAGTGGAAAACAGCAAAAGCAATCAGAGCAAAAGAGAGGATCAAGAGTAAGCCTCTTCCCCTCCCTTATATTGTAAGCAGGCTCCACATGCCAGAGTGGGTGCAGCACTCACCTCTGCAATCGTACTACGGTTCAAGTGGCTCCATTTGCTGTTTTTAACTCCATGATAACAGAAGTCACTTACGCCATAGTTGACCCCTACTTTTCAGCACTGTGCCTTGGTTAGTAATCAACCCACTTGAACAATAGCTGTGTCATGAAATGGGAACACAACAAACAGGACGAATTAGGATGTGGGCTAAAAGTTAAACTGCCATGGCCATCTGAAATTTCAGTCTGACTTGCTGGGAGAAGTAAACTTTGTGAGAATTGTGACATTGTTGTAATATTCCTGTAAATGAGGTAATGGTTAGTATGGAAAACTACAATGTACTTCAAGTGAAGGTGAGATCCATGTCAGGTTGGATGTCTTCTCTGGCTCCTAGTAGAGACTATGTGTCAGCTGGCTCAGATACAGCCTTGTTCATTCAGCCCTTTGTGGTTTTCTTGTGAGTGCCTTTCTCCATGAACTCACTTGTGGTATCAATTCCTGTTTGGGAGCATAAATCAACCACAAACTCCAGAAGTCCGCCCCATGACTGCTTGAGGCTTTGTGGGGACATCAGACTCAAACCATGACAGGATTTCTAGGGAACATCCTATGAGAGCTGTGTAGTCAAAAACACACCAGAGAGCAGCTATGAAGTTACCTTAGATTTGAAGGGAGCCAGGGAGTCAGGCTACCTCGGTGTACCTAGGGGGACCAAGACAGATCAAAGTGAATAAAGGGGGCATGGCAGGACAGCTGTTGGCCATGCCCTTCTCTGGGTATCAGGAGAGAAACGGGAGAGGCAGGGGCTTCTCCTTTCTCTGACTTCTCTAGAGCTGGGCACCTGTATAAGCACAGGCATGGCTACCCCAGGGAGTCCAGATGGTATCCCGCTGCACTCTAGCACCCTGCCGTGTGTCCTCTCTCGCCGGTATGGGAAAGCCAGGCTGGACATGTGCTGATAATGCCAAGCCAGGGAGGCGAGGTCTGTGACTCCTGTGCCTTGTGTGTCCCACCCTGGCGTGTGTTCTGGCCTCCCTCCCCGAGCTCTGTGTCACCTCTCACTCTCCCTGCCTTGGTTGCTTCCCTTTGCTTTTCCTCTTTGCTGAGCTCAGGCATAACCTGTGCAGGGCGTCTACGTGTCTGCTGCTGCCTGTGTCTGTTTCTCTCTCTCCCTCTGCCTCCCTCACTAGCTGGGTTCCCCTTACTCCGTCCTTCACCCGCACTGTTCAAACGTGGCTGGAATATTCCTCTTGCCTCCTTCTTCACCCTGCTACCGAACTTCCTGACTCACAGTCTCTGTCCTTGCAGGCCCAGGAATGAGTACCTGTCCCATAGCTCATCCTGCTCTGTGGCATCCTGGGAAGGGAAGAGAGGCAAAAGGAAAGAATGAGCATTGTTTGCATGAGAATCTGCAAATATATTATCTTCCTTACTCAGCACAAGGCCACCATGATGCCCCAGCTCCATTTCCCACAGCCAAGCACGGGCATTCTGCTGTTTGACATTGCAGCAATAGAGGTGCTAGTGGATATGCGTGTGCACAGCTGCCTGCGCAACTGTGAATGTGTGCCCTCAAATGTACGTTCATTTCTTTTTTTTTTTTTCTTGGTATCAGGAAACGAACACAGGACCTTTCTCTTCCCAGGCAGTTGCTTGCACCACTGACCTACGTCTCGGGCAGATGTGTATTCATTTGTGCCAGGCTATCTTAACCTTTTTATTGTCCATATTTATAACTTTTTGACATCTGTCTATTTCTGAACAACATTTCCAGCTCACTAATTTTTTATTGGTATATGTTTGCAATGGAAATAACTGCATTTGATTTGTGGATTTTCACGTGTGTGTGTCTCCTTGTGGGTGTGTAATGATTCACCTTCATTCTGTTTTTCTCCCCTGAGATTCGTTTGCTTCCCCTCTCCTCTCTATTGTCTACTATGTCTCCTTTATCATCACACCACTAATGTTTCAACTGTGTTCTTTCTATTTTAAGTCAGTGTATTTTTATAAAACAACACTTTTGGGTATATTTTTATAATTAGTACCCTCGAATGGTTCGTTTGGTGTACTGAATGTCCCTGCTGTGTTTGTACTTGCCTAACACTTCTCTGTGACCACAGTTCTAATATTTTAATATTTTTGGTTCTCCTTTGCCATCAGTTCTGCTCTCGCTAGCACAACTTCTCTCATCTCTCCTTGTTTTCCTCATGCTTTCATTCCTCTGATCTGACTCAGCTTACGCCTGCAGGTCAGGTCTATCTCGTGCTACCATCAGCATCCTCAACCAAGGGACCTATTTTCCAGTGGTTCAACCCTAGATTCTCAGTTATTCAGGTGAGTTTCAGAATGTGAAACCCCTGTTTCCTCTGCAACGGTCCCTGAAGCACCATGGAAGTCATTCTGAAGTCCACAGCTTCAGCCACAGAAATTATCCCTTGGCAGCTGTTCACCATGTCATGAGGGGCAAGATCATTGGTATCCCTACCAGGTAGCAGATGTCCCAGGAACACAAGGATGTCATGACATATTAAAATCAGTAACACCATTTGATAGTTGAAAAGTCCACTTTGTTTGAATAAAATTAGAAAAGAAATGTTGCACATTTCATCTCAATATATTCATAAAGCAGATTCAGTAAAGCTCAGTAGCTGTTTATGACAGATGGAGCCTAAGGAGAGGTTCAGAAGTCCATGTTGGCTACTCCTTCCCAACATCACTTGTGGTTATCTAGTCTGGATAATTTCGATTATCCACACTTTGAATTTGTAGAGGTTTGTGTAGAATCCTGGAACTCCAGGTTGGCCACAGGGGCATGCCCCAGGATACAAGGCCCTGCATAACCAAACTCCGGACCCGGTGGCCTACCACGTCTGATTGTTGAGGGAACAGTACAACAAGTTAGGGCGGCTGGAGAGGGGGATGGAGGGAGACACACACAGGAAGCCAGAAGCACAAAGAGGCAAAGGCAGAGCAAGAGAGCAGGGCAGAAACACAGAGTGCAGGAGCTGGAGGGCAGCAGTGAGAGCTGGAGACAGAATCAGGGTAGACAGAGTCCGAAGCCCCCAGAGAAACATGCAGTGCAGCAGACAGAGGTGATGGGGAAACAAAATGAGACCCTTCGTAGGTCCCGTGACAAAAAAAAAGGCAGAAACCCAAGGGCCACAATATAGGGATCTGCTGTGAAAACACTGAGCACTCAAACCATAACTTGTAGGCAGGCAGAGACAGTCCTGCCTCTCAAATACCAACTCTCTCTCCCATCTCTTGGAAACTTCCCTTGAGGTGCTCCACCCTCTCCTGCATCTCCTTTTCTGGCATCTGGGGATGAATTGAAGGGTGACACTGGGTGTGGACTAGGGGTCTGGGGAGCTGTAGGAGTTGAGGATGGAGCTGTGCTTGGCACTGGGGCTGGGGATCCTGAATGCAGTCAACCTCTCTGTTCTTACAGCTGTGTTCCTTCTCCCTGGACCCTCCCGGTGTCCCTGCTGGATGTCTCCTCATCCCCCCCCTCAACATCATGACTCTGAGTCTGTCTGCCAACTGCTTGCTTCTCTTTGGCTCTCCTTGCCTGCTCTGTGACCTCTGCCCTGTGTCTCCTTGTTTCCTCTCACCCTTCAAGTTTCTTCTCTCTGTTTCTCATTGCAGCTCTATCTCCCTGTGGCGCTCTGACTCTCTTTTATTCCTGCATGACCTTGTGCCCTTTGTGGGTTTTACACCCAAACTGCATGCTAAACTGCCTTCCTGTCCCATTCTGTTACTCGGCAAGAGTCCTTACGGAACTCCCCACCAGCACAGAACATCCTGTCGTGGTAGCTTGAGTTAAGCTTGAAAGTGCAATGCTGCTCTGAAACTACCAGACTAACTGCACACTGCAGATAAAAAGGGTAGAAGCCTGCAAGAAAGAACTAAGGATCAGAAACACCGCTGGGCAAAGACACCACAGGTATCAGTGAGTCCAGAGACAGTAACAGCAAAATTCACCATCCAATAGCTGACCCCAGCCTGAGATCGGACACCTGGTTCCAGCTGTTGGACATCGGGATGCAATGGGGAGGGTCCGGATGGTGTCTGATACCGCAACTGGTTTCTTCAACTTGATGAGCATGAGGTCACTTCCAATCTTAGTTCTGATGTATTGTGGGTGTAGAACAGAGAAACTGGCTTCCATAATCTGGCTGTCTGGTTCAAACCAATCGGAAAGTCCATGGAGGCCCAGCCCAACGGTGTAGTATCTGAGGACGAGGGGATCTTCAGTAGCATGAAAACTGCATCATCTCTGCGAACCCAACCTCAGATGCAAGAAGAATTCAATCCTAGCCTCAGCCGCACTCATCCTCACCCTCAGTGCCATCGCCAGTGCCATTCCCACCTCCACCCTGCCCAGACCCATCCCTGCTGCCAGCCTCATCCCCACTTGGACAGTGGCCATATCCCATTCCAATCACCACTGAGAAATAGCCCACAAAGAGGATAATAGGGTTGGGGCAAGAGAAACATTGTCTAATGTGTTAATTGAGGCGGCCACTAATGTTGTGCTTCAGTATAATATTTGTAATTTCAAAATTAATGCAAGAAGTCCATTGCACAAAATATCAGAAATTGAAGGGAAGACAGCATTCGTGGTCACCTCGCCCTTACACCCCACACCCAGGATCCTGTTTATTTCAAATGTGGATATTTTGTTCATCACAGATGTTTGCATTGTATTAGTTTGTTTAACATAAGACATTGAGATATTTCTCCTGATGTGTGAGGTTTTGCCTCATCTCTCCGTATACTCTGCCCCGCAGCCATGTCCATACCTTGGTCCTAATCCACCTGTCTCTGTCCACATATCCCTCGCCTTGCCGCAGACCTCTTACACCCTGGGAGAAGAGGTCCCTTGTGTACACCACCTGGCTCCTAGATAGTGAACCAATATCCAAGCCCCCTCTCTCAAGCCATCTTCTTCTTTGAACGTTCATGCTCTTGTCAACCGCAGCGTCCGGTGTGGTTTGTCTTCCCACATGTGGGATCTTTCAAACCTAGAGATGTGAATCCTCTTCCGGCCAGGGGAAGTGGATCTCCCAACCAGGACTATGCTTTGAATATAAATCCAGCCCTACTCCAGGCCTAGTGTTTTAAATTCTCATCTGGGGCCAAGTCCAGCCTCTGGGGCTGGGGCTCACTACCTGTCCCAGCCACTCTGCAGCACTGGAACACCACCCTAATCCAAGTCCGGGACCTCTGTGCTCAAACCCAGTCTGGGTCCTGCCCCTCCCTGCAGTGCAATGTCTGACCCTAACCACTGTCTACACTGCCCTAACAAACAGAAGCCACGGCCCACCCATCCCAGTCCAGTGTACTGCCCTCCCCTGCAGTCACGCCTACTGCACTTGCTCACGGTTTCCAGCAGCGCGCAGCTGACAGCACGCACTGCGGGTGCACCAGAACTCCAGCACAGTAGCGGTCATAATTTTCAAACAGTGCAGCAATCCAAGGCTGGGAGTGTGGATTGCAGGGAAAGCCATCAATGATGCGTTTGCTGACCTGTTGGGCCCATCTGCGAGGTGACTACTTTTTCCTTTGGGAGGAATCTCTGCTTCTGCGGGTAGGATGAGCACAGAGAGGATCCACTGGGTGGGTTGATGTGATCCAGCAGTGGATCCAGTAGGGCTCTGGTGGGTCAGGGTTAGGAAGGCCCAGGTTATACCAACAGTGCCTCGGAGGGGCAACGTCTGAGGCTTTGCCTCTGGTGCTCAAGCAGGACAGTTCCAAGGACAGACCCCTTCCTGGGCCTGAAGATTCACACTTTGCTCCACCACCCCAGTAGCATAGACCCAGTGTCAACACACACACACCCTTCCCCAGGAGGAGGCTCTGTGCAAGGCAGAGGAGAGAGGCAATTGTGCCTGGCATTCTGTCTGCTGGACTCACAGAGTGGATGCTGGGGCACAGAGAACAGTCCCTCAGGAAACACTTCTTACCCTGGACCCAGGCCTCTGCAGTGCCTCCTTCCCCAGGGGCTCAGGAACAGTCACCTCTACAGGGTAGGAAGCAGCTGCCACACTTCTCTGCCAGCTGGGGCAGAAGGCTCATGCACAGTGCTGTAGCAGTGTGAATTACAAGTAACATCTGAACACTTGCCTATGGGCCAGAGTACAGGGAGGACCTGCCTCTATAATGTATCTAATCTGCTTCCAGATAATCATTGCAGGTGGCGAAACTAAGGCACAGAGACATTAGGGACATTTCCCAGGTAAGAAGTAGCAGCGTAGGGCTGTGGATCCAGTGGCCTCCCCACCTGTCCATAAGCTGTGTTTCCACTCTGGTGCCATGCAGACCCCCAGGGATCCTGCATGTGGTGCAGGATGACCCATTTTGGGTGCACACAGGTAGCACCCACCCTGAACTCAGATACCTGCTGCTGTGTGGATGATGCAACCCAGGAAACAGAGCCAGAGGACTTCTGCTGTGGCCCCCATGTCAGCACCTGCGGATGAGGAGACCTGGTGAGTCTGGGGCCTCCCGCAGCATTCCAGGAGCAGTTAGAAAAGACTCTGTCCAGCCTGGATTCTGAGAGCCTACCTGAGGAGCAGTAACACAGGGAATAATTTCTCACCCTCTGCCTTGATTTATATCCATTCTCTGCTGGGGATGGACCGAGGACACTCCCATGCTCACACAGCTACAGATCCTTCCCACTGCCTGGTACTGCCTGGTGGCTGGTGAGCTTTTCTACTAAACCCTGCCCTTGTAATGCAGGGTGTTTTACACCACGAGCCAGCTGCTGTCCCTCTCCCCAGTAGGGACCACCAAAAGGCCCCTTCTTCGTACAGATACTGGGAGAAGACAGTGTGAGCTCTGCCTGTGAGGACAGAGGAGGCAGGGAGACTGAGGAATGAGGGGCAGCTAGTGACAGAGACACCAAGACTGAGGCTAAATCACAGAGCAGGGAAGATGGGGCCAAGACTAAGATATGTCATTTCTTGAAGCTGAAGGTGACTGAGCTGGAAATCAAGATGCTCTCAGCACAGATTCAGGTGCAGCCCTGTGCCAGGCATCACACTTGGAGGAGACACGTAGTGAGTCACTTTCACAGCCATCTCCGGGGCCAGGTCTTCGTAGTATCCCCATTCTACCGAAGGTGCAGAGACAGACAGGCTGAGTAAGAAGTGGAGAGGGCAGTAGAGTCTGTGCTTTTAAAACGTCCCTGGGACTGGGCACGGTGACACTGTCTGTAATACCAGTTATGGAGAAAGGAGGATCTCAAAGCCCTCACTGTACATTGAGTCAAAGCGATGCTGTAAGTCAGAGAGGGAGTCACACACCCATTCGGACAGCGACAAGAAAGAGGCAGGAACTCAAAGGGAGGTAAGCAAGCCTGTGGAAGCAAGCCACACAGAGCAAGCCTTGTGCTGTGAGAACACAGGGTTGTTCATCTGGCTTCAGCTCCTGGGGTTCGCATTTCTGCTGTCCTTTCTGGAGCGGTGCTCTGTGGGCTGTTGACTCTCAGAGCATCTCTTCATCTTATGAGGATTGGCATGAGGGCTGGCCTAGCCTGGGGCTGGTGGAACATTAGAGGCTGAGGGCTGAAAGATTAGAGTCCTGAGCACAGCACCCCTGCCTGTCCTGCTTCTAATCAGATCAGGGCATAGGGAGCAGGGCTCCCGGCAGGGAGGTAGGAGAGGAGTGTGGATTTTGGCCATGAAAGAAGTGAGTGCTTCTGTCTGATCACTCACCCTCTCTGTCTCTCATTTCTGATTCCTCCTCTGAACTGCTCCTGCTACCCTTAGCGTCTTCTCTCATGGACGTTCCGGTTTGGATTCCTTCCTTTTGAAGCTGTGCATTAAATCTACATTAAATGAAGCAAATGTACATGAAATCAAGACAATCTGTGTTTCTGTGTGTTTGGACCTGTGGATTGAATCCAGCATCTTCTCCCTGAACTCCATCCTGAAGCATGTTTTACACTTTCATTTCGAGGCAGTGACACATTAGTTCCTCAAGTTGCCCATGGTGTTCTCAACCTTGAGGGACTCCTGCTTCCTTTTCCCAGAGAGCTGGGCTTCCAGGTGTACAGCGCCACAGGCAGTGTGTTTTTCTGACCTAGGCATCTACCAGGCCTGGTGTGGCACATACATCCCCAATTTCTATCACACCAAATCCCAAATGTTTGAACACACCAGACAGGTTTGTCCCTGCCTCAGTCTGTGAAGTAGCTATTGCTTTCACCTGCTGTCTCCCTGGGTCATTTTCTTTTTCCTCTAAAACCATCTACAATTGTGCAGGGGTCCCAGCAGCAGCCACATCTCACATACTTGCCCAGACCCTTCCTCAGTTCCATTCAGCTGAACTCAGCCCCAGCTCATTGCAGATTTCAAAGTGGATGAAGCTGTAAAGGATGTCAACTGGATTCTGCTGGCTGAGGGCTCAGGGCCTCAAGAGTGGCCCAGCCAGAAAGACTGATCACAAGCCACCTGCCCTTCTGAAATGCCAGCCATAAGTCTTTTTGCACAAACCAAGCCTAGGCATCTGTAAGCCTGGGTAGCAGAACTTTGGGAGACCGTGGCACTTACTGGTATATTATTTAATGAAGAGCAGGTGAAAAGGAATAGCTGAGAGCTGAGTGACAAGGTCAAGTGTACTGAGGGAGGGTTCCCACACAGGGTGCAGCTGTTGTGGCCACAGAGCTGAGCTGGACCTTTTCTGCTCTGTTGACCAGGGGTGTTTCAGATGCTCCATCACCTTGGACGATTGGCTCCTGAGACAATGTGCAGCCCTGTCCCTCCAAAAGGATGGGGAGGGCCAGGGACCTCACCATGGCCCATCTGGCTGTGCTCCCAGAGAGTCTCCCCACTGTTCAAATATGCACCTGCTGTTGCTGTTCTGTATGGGGACTTGCTTTAGAGATAAGGGGACAGCATGAGATGACGAGCACCAGACCTACCTGCAAGCGATGAGGAGATAAGGAAACGTTTTCTTATTATTTCTTAGAATATCTCTTGTTTGTTTTGGGATCCCATGGTGTAGTATATGTGTATTCATGAACCTTAATTATCATACTCCATATACATTAGGCTTCTATGGTCACATTTCCCTGCAGTTTTACCCTGGATCTCCGCACCATTCTCCTCTCTGGACTCTCCCCTTTGCAGAGCTGTTCGCTCCACCCCATGGTACCTGCTGGTACGGTTCCTTGCTGTGGTCATGAGGGAAAGAGAACTTAAACAACAGCATGAGTGTACAGGCAAGGGCTGAAGGTATGAGACAGAGAAGATGGTCAGCGTGTTAGCTTGAGGCACTAACAAACATGAAGTGGATCCTCTGAGAGGGAGTGCAGGAGGAGTCAGGGCAGATGCTTCCACTGAAAAAGGGGCAGTGGCTGCATGTCTGAAGATCTAGGTTACCCTGGCACATGGGGTTGCTACGTGCTGCGTTTCTGCTGCTCCTGATCTCAATCATTGCTTCTTCATATGGGTTGAAGTGTTGTGACCTGAGGGACAGGTTGATTTGCAC